ATTGTATTTGTCCTTCGCTTTTTTTATTACTGACAGTTTAATTATTTTCAATAATTTTTAGGACTTTGTGTTTGTTTGAAATTCTGCTGGTCTCTACAATGTAGAGGTCATAGCAACCTTATTTACAGGAAATAAATTGATATGCATCACCATCTTTAAATAAATCACACATAAAAGTTTTGGTCATATGGCCCCCTCATGTGTTAAATAACCGTGATTACAATATTGGCCAAAATAATCGTGATTATGATTTTTGCCATAATCGAGCAGCCCTAGTGCATATACACATGTATGATGTCATGTAATACTGAAAAATTATAACCCTAACCTTTATCTCCATACTGAAATCCCAGATGGCCTGACAGTGATTCAGCTAAAATATTAGTGTCTGAGACACTGTGAGCACGGAGACTGTAGTGTGCACAGCAAATTATTAAATGCTTAGCTTAAATATGTAACATTAATTAAATAGTGCTCAAAAATGGCTGCTGAGATAGTATTCTCAAGTGAAATGAGTAGAGGCTTGGACCCGGAAACAGCAGTCCTTACGTCACGACTTAACAAGAGGATTCTCCTGAAGCCGTCAAACTGACGTCATCAGAGAGAGAAAATGCCATTCCAGAGCGGAAGCGACGGCAAACAAATTTTTTCCCAGTGTATTGACTTGCATGGTTCAATTGTTCACCACAAGACTAGTAATGTGCACTAACAAAGTAAGTAGGGTCATCTTTGATTTCATGATGACCAATCATTTTGAATACCATTGGCAAAACTACCACATACTGTGTATACTGCCATATAGATATTTAAATTATTTATTTTATATATATATATATATATATACACATACAGGGCTGCTCGATTTGGAGAAAAAAAATCGAATTGCGATTTTTCTGATCAAAAATGCAATTTAAAATGTGATTTATTACTATTTCATAAATGAGCTACAGGTTTGTTGTGGTGGTTTTAACAGCACCAACGAAATACCAAGTTTTATTACAAACTATGCTACTGTTTATTTAAAACCTCTTAAACATTGTGGCCATTTTTTTTTTTATAAAGTTGTCATGATGCAAACATCTGTCATGACAAATTAAGAAAATAACTACAGTATCTTAAAGTTAAATTAACAATTATATATAAAATATTAAACTTTAAAGAACCCAAACACACTGTAAACAATTCTACATCAGTAAAATACTGACCATAACCTACATTAAGGTTGAAAATGCCAGCAAAAGTTTTTGCCATTTAACCCTCTGGGGTCTGAGGGTGTTTTGGCGCCCTGAAGAAGTTTTAGCATGCCCTGAAATTTGTTTTTTTTTTTCAGTATCTTAAAAAAAATGTTAATGACTAAAGTCTGATAACACTGTATTCAGCACAAACTGTGCTCCAATAATTTGTGAGCAGCATGAAAGTACATGTTTGTGTTTCTGAGAAAACAATGTTTATGCATGGTTAGTGAAAAACTAATTTTTTTAAGTCACTGTAATAAGGCCATAAAACACATACAGAACGTTTGTTCACAAGACTTTTGAGAATGTGGTAGACTAGAGTTTTTGCTACAAAATGATGTGAAAATGATCCTGTTCACTTATTTACAGAAAACAATATATTGATTTAACATTTGTAAAACATGTTTCGTGATAGAATGCCCTTATGCCAGGGAGTGACAATGGCCATGAATATTTAGTGATTCACATCTGAGAGATAGTGTTAACCCTCACACTACTTATATCTTGTGGTTTTATGTTAAAACATTAAACAAACATCCTGGCGTTGTGAGACATTTAGAAAATGAAATATCACATATTTCAAAATGTTTCACTTGATTTCAAACATGTAGTCAGGAATTAGAAAAGTCTAACTAGTAAAATGTGTACAAGTTATGTCACAATAACAACAGATGCAAGTAATCTTAGGCTATTCATCAGAGTGATATTCTCCACAGGATCTAGCTGCGCGACGCATTGCGTTGTGAGGTAAATTCTGGGTTATCTCTCTCTTCTTTCAGAAACAAAAAGTAGCCGGGATCAACTCTTCACGTTTGTTTACGCGGAGGCGATGTGGGCGTTTACATGCGCGCGCGTCTCACGTGGATGTTTAGAATCTGAAAGCGCAATCGGCTCGTGGGTGTGACCGCATTAGATGTAATGAGTTGAGACGGGAAAACTGGACATCGCGTATGTTTCATACGTATTACTTTAACGGAGAATATTTGTTTTGGACGTGACTTAGTTAATTTAAAGGTAGACATTTCAGGCTTTCTATACATATATTGACCTTTTGGCAATGCATTCATCATAGATTTGTCTGTGATACTTCTGCAGGTGCTGATACAGGTTGGTTGTGTGCGAGGTCGACACAGACGTTCGGCAGGTTTTACGAAGTACTTGCCTTTGAAGTACACCAGAACGTCGAAATCCAAAATAATTTCAAACATATGCGGTGCTTTTTCGTTTAGGTACCAAGTCATCAGCAGACACACTTTGTTGGGAAGTTGAACTGCTGCTCCTGCTCGCGCTTATCTTTTCCAAACGGCGTTATTTGCTGGTTCAGTCAGCACGTGCGGTGAATGCCCCCTATTGGTTAAACTCTGCATCAAAGTAAATTGTGCATGAAGCAAACTGTCAAAAACTACGTAGATGCATGTTAAATCTCTGATAGTCCTTCATCGAAATAGTCGCATTTCTTGCTATTTGAAAATCGCGATTTCGGTTTACAAACGATTAATCGTGCAGGCCTAGATAGATAGAAATTTTAATATATAAAAAGACACGTTCGCTTTATATGATGAACAGATTTTATATAGGCTTTTATTTGCATACAAATATTGATCAATTACCATTACAAAAACAATCTTAAACATTTGCTCATTCTGTGTATTTGTGTCTTTAAAATAGGGTAACTGTTGCAAAAGCTTACAGCACAAGGAAGCTTGATTTCAAATATAATTTCAAACGGAATTGAATTTACAAAAAAAAAAAAAAAAGGCAAGTACACAGTCAGTAATAGAATTATAAAACAAATTACCGCAATTCAGTTTGAGGTATTCAAAATATGACAACACTGAATTTTTATAAGCAGTGATTTAAGAGCCATATGCAGTATGTTAGGCCTATTTATTTAGATAAATGGAACATCAGATGGCTTTGACCTGTAATGACTGTACAATGTAGTGATGCAGTTAGGCAGACTAAGATATTTATATGTACAAATCAGACAAATATCCCATTCCAAAACATTTCTAGCATAAACTTACATAGTAAAGAAATTAAAGTTCCATCTTTGATTGTTGAAAGACTTTCTGGTGCATTTCACTTACAGCCAATAACATTTCCAGTAGGATTTTCATCGGTCAGGCGTGGATCTATAGACCAATTATAGGTTTGTAAACATTCAGGATGCGCGTGCATCATGGCTGCAGAAAACCCGGGAGAGATAGCCTTTATGGCTAGCCTAGAGAATTTCACGGATAGGGTACAAAATTGTTAGGTTTAAAAAGATTATAAATTATATTGATTAGATGTAATTTTCAAAATGTTCTCCGCATATCACAAAAGCTTGTCATCCAGCGATAAGCACTGTTATTCTACGAAATTGACTTTAGAGAGTGGGATAGTCTTACAGATCCAAAACAGAGATGACGTTTTTTGTGGGTGGAGCCTATCTGGAGGCAGAAAATTACGGTTTGGGCACCCCTGGTATAGATCAATTATAGGTTTGTAAACATTCAGGATGCGCGCGCATCATGGTTGCCGAAAACCCGGGAGAGATAGCCTTTATGGCTAGCCTAGAGAATTTCACGGATAGGGTACAAAATTGTTAGGTTTAAAAAGATTATAAATTATATTGATTAGATGTAATTTTCAAAATGTTCTCCGCATATCACAAAAGCTTGTCATCCAGCGATAAGCACTGTTATTCTACGAAATTGACTTTAGAGAGTGGGATAGTCTTACAGATCCAAAACAGAGATGACGTTTTTTGTGGGTGGAGCCTATCTGGAGGCAGAAAATTACGGTTTTCAAGTGGCAGTCTATGGAGCCATGGAATAAAAGAATAAAAAAAACTGGTAAATTTGATTTTATATTTCAAAATTCTGACTTTATTCTCGCAATTCCGAGATTATATCTCACAATTCTAATAAGGAAAAACAACTCGTCATTCTCTCTTTTCCCCTCGACTCTTCTGGCTTTTTCCCTCAGATGTCAAACTCGCTATTTTTGAGTTAAGTCGAGTTATAAAAGTCCGAATTAGGAGATATAAACTTGCATTTGCGAGAAAAAAAAAGTCAGAATTGTGAGATAAAATAAATGTTATGTAAAAATGTTAATAGTAAGGTTTAAATAATATTTCTAATAGTAAGGTTTAAATAAATAGAATATTTCATGCTGGAACTGTAGGGCTAATACAATATGTCCCCTATGAACATTATGTAGACCTATTGTTCAAATCGAATTTATGCTTTAAAAGTAGAGTAATCATAACAGTTTTCATCTATAGTATGTCCATTTAAACGTCTGCTTTAAGCTTCAAATGGCATCTTTGACGACAGTATTCTATAAAAATTATTTGCATTCCGATCTTGACATCAAAAGGCACAAAAATATTTGTTTTCTTTTATTCCATGGATTTTACCCATTTATCTCCACTTGTTCCCTGTGTTTATCTGCAACCACTATGCGCGCGCAGCTGCAAGTGACATAACTGTGACGTCTACTCTAGAGTGCTCTATTCTGAATGGTTGATAACTTTTGACAAAGTTTAATCCAGGAGTAAAGAGAAATAATTTCTACTTTAAAAGCACAGAGAGATCGCGATTGCACACAGTCTGCGCACAAGCAATATCGGAGTGAGAGGACAGGCAGTTCATTTGTATAAGTTAGGCCTATTTGAGAGCTCGCATCCATTTTTTTGCGATTACATTACTGTGTTCTCATGTTACAATAAAGCGCTCGCCACATTTGAGCGGGAATGATTATAATTATGTGGAATACCTGCAATCCCGCGTGGACATTCAGACTCTGTAATCAACAAGACGCGGATGGGTGTCAACTGTCAAACTCACTGTCGGAGAGGAGAGAGAGTCACAGCGTGTATCTGTGTCGGTTGATACTGTGGAAAATGAGTAATGCAACTGTGTCAGATATTTCAGTATCGGTATCAAAATATAGATATTTATGATAACACTACCATGTAGTTTGTTTCGCCAAGCTTCGAGTCTATAAATTACGCTGAGCTCCCGCCCTCTCGCTGTCTGATCAGATCTTCAATTCCTGCTGCAGCGGCGCTTTTCACGGTTCAGATATCAGGGCTTTTATTGGTCCCTTCACGATCGGATATCTTTATTGGCGACTTCTTCTTCTTCTTCTTTTGTGTTTAATGGCGGTTGGCAAACCAGCTTAAGGTGCATTTCCGCCACCTACTGGGATGGAGTGTGAGGCCTCGATGAACGAAAATATTATAGTGTAGCATGTTCAAGCATGTTGTGTTATAGATAACAATGTGCTTAATGTTAGTGTTGCACTGTATTCATTTTTGTGTTGCGAACTGTTATTGGATGTTCGAGTTGGATGTGAAAAGAGGCTTCGCCCCTGTGTGTGTGTGTGTGTAAGGGGAAAGAGAGCGAAGGAGGGGGGAGAATGAGTGCCTTGCAGTGCGATTCTCTTAGAAGTCGGGGTGTGTATGGCATGGGTTGTGGCCGACAAACGCCTCGTCCTTGTCTGAGAACGCTACAATATATTCTTCTAATCAATTCTGTATCTCTCAGATATTTTAGAAGAAAATCATAAACCCTTGGCTGTTTCTGTGCATTCTGAAATGTATTCATAACTGAAATGTCATTGATTTCCATATCTCTTAGTTTTTCAACAAGTTGCTTTCTTTGTCTATTATATGCCTCACAATGTAAGAGCACATGTTCATCCGTTTCTGTTATTCCACAGTAACTGCAGCTATCTGACTCACTTTTTCCTATTATATGCAATGAGTAATTAAGGTTAGAGTGTCCTATATGGATCCTGCTTATAACAGTATCTTCTCTTCTGTTTCCATATACCTTTCTTTCAATCCCCACTTTCTGTTGAATGCTAAATAAGTGTCTCCCTTTTGACTCTTTATTCCATACGTCTTGCCGCATACTTCCAACTGCTGTTTTAATAATACCTTTTACTTCTGTTTTACTTAAAGGAATTTCTATGTCAGTCTATTCTTTTCTCAATGCTGACCTGGCCATCTTATCCACCTCCTCATTTCCTTCTACACCTACATGAGCAGGTATCCATAAAAACTCTACTCTTACTCCTGTTTGATTTATTCTATATATTTTTTTTTAATTCATAAAGTATATCCTGTCTAGATGCTGATTTCCCACTATTTAAACTCTTTAATACTGAATATGAATCTGAACAAACTACTACACTTATAGAATCGATTTCTTCCACCCACTGCAAAGCCATTAGAATTGCCATCATTTCTGTTGTGAATACAGATACATCGTTAGATAACCTTTTTACTGTGCTATATTTAAAATAGGGAATATATATGGCTGTTGCTGTATACCCAGAATCTGGATTTTTTTTTTGACCCATCCGTATATATTTGAATACTATTAAAATAGTTTTGTTTCAAATATTGATCCACTACTATTTCTTTAGGCATACACCTTTCCTTTTCATTTATTTTAAAATGCAACTGGAGATCTACCATTGGCATGCGGAACAGCCAAGGGGGTATAATTGGTATTGCTACTGTTGAACTTATTTGTATGTCATTAATTCCTACCTTCTTAGCATCTGCATTGGCATTCCATCCAAAACTACAATAATTTACATACTCATGTTCCCAACATTTTTGTAATACATCTTTGACTGGATGGGTTTCTACATGCCCCCTTACAGAACACCAGTATGCCATCTTTAACTTAAGTCTCCGGAGGTCTAAAGGCAACTCCGCCATTTCCACCTGCATCGCTGAGACTGGCGATGTTCTAAATGCCCCACTTCCTATTCTTAGTGCATGAGATTGAATACCACTTACTTTCTTTAACATAGATACTGATGCCGAACTATATACTATGCTGCCATAATCAATCATATGTCTAATCATTGCACAATATACTCTTTTCAATGCCTGTCGGGTTGCACCCCAATCTACCCCTGCCAAACATCTTAAAATATTTATTCCCTTTGTACATTTATCTATTACTTTATTAATATGTGATGCAAAACTTAGTTTTGAGTCCATCCATAATCCAAGAAACCTCATTTCTGTTACCTGCTCTAACATTTTTCCGTAAATCTTTAGTTTAATATTTGGTGATTTCTTCTTTTTTGAGAAACATATCACTTTAGTTTTTTCTACTGACAGTCTAAAACTCCACTTATTTACCCATTTTTCCACTTCATTAACTGCTTTCTGCATACTACTTTCCACAAATACTAAATTTCTTCCCCTTTTCCACAAGGCACCATCATCCGCATCATTGAAAACATGTCATTTATCATTATAATGAATACAACTGCACTGTAAAAAAACTATTTTAGGGAATTTTACCGTTTTATTTTACAGTTTTTGCACGTGTTTTTGAAATACAGTTAGAAATAGACTGTAAAAATACAGAAAATACAGAAATAGACTGTAAATTTACAAATCCAGTGTAAAATCACATAAAAAAAAGTCAATGTACATAACACCCCAAAAAAATTTTTTTGAAGATTTTTTCCACAACACCAATTTATCGGTGCGCTCTCTCTCTCTCTATATATGCATATATAGCATTAATAATATAATATTTCATAAAATTGGTTGCCACAGTATCGATCCTAGCAAAAAGCAGTGCATGCATGTCATTCCACTCGCAAATTACGCCTTGGATTCACATGATTTGCCTCAAATCAGCACAGATTTATCTTCTTCCAGCTTATTCTAAGCAGAGTCTCAGTAACTCGTGAACTAAGCAACTGACTTAAATGAGGGGTGAGATGTCAGCTTCTTTATGTCTTTTCATGGTTTATGAAAATGATATGTTGATTAAAACAAGTTTATATATTTTTATATAATTATTATTGATATAACATTTTGTATATGTACGTCATTGCGTGTTTGCGTAAAAGAGCAGGTGAATCCGTTTTTGAACCGGTTTGTTGAAACGTCCTACCCGAATCCCGAAAGAATCTTTTCGACCAAAAGAAGAATCATATTTCCATACTACTGTCACTGACTGACCACATCTTCTTCCGCTTATCAAAGTAGTTCTGCTCAGTTTAGTGTTTTATTACGCATTTATTCCCATAGTATCGTTTCATAATGTGATATAATATAATATAATAATACGCTAATATTTAAATTACAAAAATATTCGAACTCAAGGAATTCCCGCCATGGCTCAACGTTCTCCTCTAAGCACGCAGTGGGGCTGCTGCGCGCGCGAAAGGAATCACTCGCAGTGTTTCCCCTGCCATTATTTTAGGGGGGCGGCCCGTCAAAATAAACGTTCGGTTTAACTTGAAGGCATTGGCAGAAATATATTACTATTGTTGAGTAGAATGTACGTAACAGACTGCTACTACTACTACTAAAATTATTAAAACCTTATTTTTAAGGAATAAGCATTCAATATTTCTTCAATGTTTTAATTGTAATATTAAATGACCTTTATTTTCCAAAAAATTCAATTTGTTTAATTATCATTACTTAAAAAATAAATTAAATGAATGTGTTATGCCTTAAAACAAAATGTAAATACACCACACAGAATTTCTGAGCAAAAAAATCATAAGGCTATTGTAAGAATAAATGAAACATGTTTTATGCTTTCAAATTAGATTTAACGTGGCTGACGAGATGTGAGACGTGTGGATCCATCTGCAGGCTTTATTAAAGAGACGTGGTAAACAGGCAGGGTCAAAACAATGGCAAACAGGTATATGGCGGGCAAAACACAAGAATAGTCCCAGGGCTAGCGTTGGTCACCGATCAGCAGACAGAATCACAGGGGCGAGACGAGAGGGAGAAATCCAAGAAAACAGGCAAAGATCAGAAACCGCAAAAACAGGCAAGGCAAAACAAGGAAAGCACAGACACTCGGAAAGGGGAACAGGCTAAACAATACTCAGCAGAGAAAGGTGATTAGAGTGGGTGGTATATAGTGAGTGAGGTGATTAGAAACAGCTGTGTGCAATCAGTACAGTGTGCAAATCGTGCAAAGAATGATGGGATATGTAGTCCAGGGTGCTATGCAACCGTTTGTGTTGTGCGAGAGTCAATGTAATGGAAAGGGTGACCTCTGGTGGTGAATAAACGGAAGTCTATGGACCGAATTCGTGACTTTAGACATGCTAAAACAGAATTTGGTTACAATAAAACATAAGGTTGGACAAATAAAACATTTCATAGGGCCCTAAGCGTAATATTTTTTAAACTTTTAATAAATTGATGTTAAATTGTTTAAGTTTCATGATTTTAATTCATTAGACATGCTTTTTGATTAATAACATGTAATTTAACCATTAAAAAGGAGTCCAGAAAAAAAAAAAAACGGAATCTACCGAATCTGTGAATATGTTGCCAACTTTACCGAACTTTGACGCATAGTGCAATATTTTTAATAAGTTTTTACATAATCGTAGGCGTCGTCTAAAAGCTCTAAATTGCTATTTTCCGAGTCGAGGTTGGATGGAAATTCTTAATTCAAAGTTCTTAGGACCAGCACTTAAAGTGACCCAACCCCTCCCATCGCGATTTGAACGTTAGTAACTTTATGTTCGTCTGCACTTTTTCCCTCTTCAAGCTCTGGTTATTACGCCTGTATAATGAAATTCGCTTAACATCAATTGGACACTCACTCTCTCAAACACTTTTTCAACACGCACTCACTTCACATGCATCCTCACATACACTCACTCTCTCATACACTTTTTCAACACGCACTCACTTCACACGCATCCTCACATACACTCACTCTCTCATACACTTTTTCAACACACACTCACTTCACACACATCTTCACACAGGGTGTCCGCGGGTCCTTAAAAAGTCTTAAAATGTCTTAAATAACGTTTTCCTAATATAAGGCCTTAAAAAGTCTTAAAATGTCTTAAATTCGGATTCGATGGGTAAAATATTTTTTTAAATATTAAATATTTTTGGTTTCATTACCGCTAAAATATCTTCAGTCCGACGGACCTAATGACTTTACAATCATTGGACAGACCGAAGATGTTTTTTACATACACATCCTTACATACACTCACTCTCACATACACGCACTCCCACACACACACACATCCTCACACACTCACATACACACACTCTCAAACACGCATCCTCACACTCACATACACACACTCTCTCAAA